TGTGTGTGTGTGTGTGTGTGTGTGTGTGTGTGTGTGTGTGTGTGTGTTTGAGACAGGTCTGACTATATAGCCCAGGCTGGCCTGCAACTCACTCTATAGTTCAAGTTTAGCTCAAGCTAGTGATCTTCCTGACTTAGCCCCGCCAAGTGCTGAGATTGCAGGGGTGTGTGCCACCATGCCTTACTTTTATTCTCTGCCTGGAACATATATGAAATGTAAATTTGTATATATTTAGTGACTCATCAACCACTGTACTTAAAGTATGTTACAAATAGTTTTGATTGATTTTCTAAAGTTTTCCAATTAAGCAATTATATAGTGCGCCTCTTTCTGTCTGTGCTTGGATTGCTTGTGAGGTTTGTTTAATGAAACATTACTTATACTCTTTTTGAGACATAGTCTCACATAGTGCAGGCCAGCCTCAAACTCTCCACATAACCCAGGATGTCCCTGAACTCTTGCTCTTTCTACTTCACCTCCTGAGTGCTAGAGTGCTGGTATTATAGATGGTTTATGCACAATTTCTAATATTTTAAGATATCCATGAATAGTGGATGCATTTAGTCATCCACCAGTATTTCTGATAATTATGATCAACAAACACCTAATATATAGTTCCGACTTTTATCCTATGCTTACACACACACACACAAATCAGAGAGAGACAGACAGACATACAGAGACAGAGAGAGGCACCCTAGGTGAATGAGTGTGTGAAGATGGTCTATGTCAACAAAGGCAGCCATGGGGCAGTGACACCAAAGGAAAGAAGTAGGTGGCCCAATCTGATAGACAACCCAGGGGTGGTTGAAGATGAAGGAAGAGGGAGAGCTTGGACTTCGGCTCATAAAGCATTTTGATACGTTAAGGGGTATTGAAACGAATTTGGGTGCAACTGTTGGTATAGCCTCGTGTCAATCATATTTATTAAGTGAGACCTGAGCTTTCACTATATTGTCTGAAAATCCTTTTCATGCTTTTATATGACATATCACACTGTTATTTGGCAACTACTTAATAGTTAGTTCTCCAAGGACTGCCTTGCCAGGCCACATTAGCCAAGTAGCTTCTCTCAGCTACAATAATTCTCAAACCTAAAAATCCATTTTATTTTCTTGAAATCACTGAGGGAAATTGTACTTTATTTTACCATTTGTTTGTATCAGAAGTTGGCAAGGCTTTTTTTGTTTTTCTGAAAAAGGCAGGATAGGAAATCGTTTATGTTTTGTGAGCCATCTGGTCTCTGTTGCAATTATCTGGGCTGCCATGAAAGCTGCCATAGATAATATGCAAATTAATGAGCACGGCTGTGTTCCAATAAAACTATTCATGGAAACAAGTATGAATTTCATATCATTTTGATGTGTCAAAATTTAATTATTTTCACACTTTTTTTCAAATATTTAAAAAGCAGGAAAACCATTCTTAGTTCAAAGGCTATGAAAATATGTTGTGACCTAGGCATGGCCATTGAGTTACAGTTTGCTGACATTTGTTTACATGTTTGTTGTCTATTCTTATCCCATTTTCTGTGTAGAAGTTTTCTCTAGATACTATATTCCAGCTGTGTGTCCTAGGGTTCCAGCTTCCCTAAGCTATCACCCATGCTGGGGTGGGCTTTGGTCATGTTGTGGCCATTGAGTCATTTCTACTTCTGTAAGGAACCCCTTAGCCATATTTCTGTAAGCAACCCCCAAACTCTTGGGTTCACCAGACTGGACAAAGATGTCATCTCTACTTTGGTCTGTTGTCGGTTCCCTATCTGGAGTGAGCAGACATGTGTTCCTATCTCCCCAGGAATTGTGTCACATGACACCCATCTATCCTCTGGCTGTAGAAGAACAGAGTCAATGTTTGCCGCCTATGTGGGAGTTTCCTCAATGAACACTTTCAGCAGAAATGGGTCAGAAACATTTGTTGAGTTTGCCGCGCTCAAGCTCTCACTCTGAGTCAGGAAACAGGCTATCACTAAACAGCATGCAAGGTAAATGGAATCCTCTAGATTTATATATCACATGATAGCTGTGGCCTTTTCTTCTTTACGTCATTAGTGTGATCACTAGTTATGTAACCCCGCTCTATAGTGATAAGCTTCCCGTCTTAAATGCCACTTTGGCTTCTTTTGTTGTCTAAACCTAAATAAGAAAACTGAGTGGGTGCCTCTCTTGTGCCCCACAGTCTAAGCCCTCAGGAAGAAACACTGAGGACTGCCCACAGATCCAGTGTGGTTGTCCAGCATACCTAAGTCCTGGGTGTCATCTCCAGCAGGAGGAAAGGGAGAAGGAAGGAAAGATGGGCTGAGGGAAAGAGGAGGAATACTTACATAGACTTTCTGAGCCACTGCCATATGTGTACTTGGTGTTTTTATTAATGATTTCAATCGCATGCGCTGCTTCACTGGCTACAAGAGACTAGAAGCAGTCAGAGATAGATGTTGGTCAGTTTGCAACCTTGAAACAGGAGAGATTGACCTTTCTAAACAATCATAATCACATTAATTGAATCCAAGTGTGTATATATGTGTTATACATATATGTACATATATGTGTATATATATATGTATAACACATATATAAAGCCTGGATGTATCCAAAATGTAAATTAAAAAGAATACATTAACTTAAAAAATGTTTTCCTCCTATGGCAATCACAACTAAGTAGCTTAAGGAAAAAAATAACTCTGCCAATACATTGAATTTTTTTTAATTTGCATTTTAAAACCTGACATAGCTTTTCAGGAATTAATTATGTAAAATGAACTGGATATTTATAATACTGGCAGCTATCCCATTTCTAGACAAAATGATCACCAGACTCTGAATTCCACTTCTCTAAAGTGCACACACGCATCCGCTGTATGCATAATTTGCTTCTCACAAACTCTGTTGTGTATTTGTCTAACGACTCCCAAAGACTCATCAAATGATGGGCCATTCCCCCCCCCCATATGAAGCAAGTTCCACTACATGTGATCCCAACTCCTAGAAATGGTTTCTGAAGTTCCCACTTAACACTTAGCTTTTCTAAAATTGGAGCTGGCATCATGGTACTTTCAGTTGCTTGAGGACCCAGACGACTACCCATGGCTATTGTGTTGTGCCAGTTTTTTGTGAAAAAAAAAAAAAAGGTTTTAGGCACCAATGGGATGACTATGGGTACATAACGGTGCTTGCTGCCAAGTCTGACGACCTGAGTTTAGTCCCTGGGACCCACATGGTGAAAGGAGAGAACCAACTCCTGAAAGTTGTCCTCTGACTTCCGCATGTATACTTTCACATGTGCGCATGCGCACACACACACACACACACACACACACACACACACACACAATAAATGTAAGAAAAAATTAAAAATAAGCTTGTAGGGGCTGGGGAAATGGATTAGCAGTTTAGAGCAACTGGTTTCTTTTACAGAGGACCAAGGTTTGATTCCCAGCACCCACAGGCAGCTCACTACTCTCTAACTCCAGCCCTAGATAGAGGCTCCAGTGCATTTTCCTTGCTTCCTCAAGCACTGCGTGCACATAGTTCACCACATGCAGACAAAACACCCACACCCATAAAATAAGATGGAAAAACTCTTCAATGGAACTTCATTATCCTCATAATAAAATACAGATTGGCGTTCAAACACCTTCACAAGCTAACTTCCTCTTCTTACTTGTGGCCCCCACAGTCCCCTGATTACATTCCCTGTGGGAAACACCATCTCCTCTGCGCAGAAGGTCCTCCCTTGCCCATAGAAATCTCTCAGTGCCTGGTTGCAATGGCATCTGCCCCTTGGCATCAATCAACTTTATTATTCTTGTTTCTTTGCCCCTTAGTGAACAATAATTTGTCACGAATGGGGCTCATTTTACCCTCTTCCTTTCCTGGCATCCCAGGCCGTGGTGACTTCTGCCATTGTTGCGCTTATGTGGTAATGAGGATGCATCGTCTATGAGTACAGCCGTCTGTGGTACCCACTTTGGACCAGCTCTCTAATCATGTGGAATTATCCTTAATTGCAGGGCTTACCTAATACTTCTTTGAATGTTGACAGAATACAGAATTGTACCCATAATAAGTAGTTGTACTGATAGCAACCACCAAATAAGGCAAAATCAGACCAATTCTACACTTAAATTATGGCAAATGTCCTTTTATTTCTCTATACACAGTGCTACTAAATAAACTAATAAAAATAAAAAATGATAAACATGTCTTAAAATGTTTCCTTTGAGAATTAAAAAGAGCATAAATATTAAGTATGTTTTTGTTTCAAACAAGCTATTTTCAGAAAATGCAAAAAAAAGTATTTGTCATAAGTAATACCTGCCCAGGTATATAAGCATAGCCTACTCAATGCAGGGATACTTTACTCTGGTAAGAGAGCCAGGGGACAAAGAGCGATAAGCACAATCCACTAGAGAGAGATCAGGCTTTGCCCATGCCAGAGCACCGCCACTGTCTGGGAAGCACCTGGGACAAGGGCTTGACTAAGTCTGGGTATAACCCATGGAGGGTCCTGTATCTTTTACTGTCAATCCCAACAAAGCATCTGGGACCAAAAAGTTGTAAGAAGATAGCGGACTGTGTGGGCCTTCCTTGACTGTCCTGTATTGTGTGCTACATTCCAAGCAGGTCTGTCTTGGTGTAGACACTGATGGTTCCTGGGTAGCACCAACCCTTGGGGGTTGAAAAGGGCAGTCCAGAAATAGTTCTCACTGCTGGCACCCAAATGAGTGAGGGGCTTGGAGTTAGCCAGAGGCAAGCTGGCCTAGGAAGTGGGTGAGCACCATGTAGGTCAAGTGGAACAGCGCCCTCCTGGCCTCACCATAGTAACAGGGAAGCCGTTCCCTGAGAACGAAGTTCCTGTCCTCAGCTTAACAGCAATTCTTGGAATCCTCTTAGGGCCCCAAGCTGACTCCTGGTAGAGTTAGAGGGTAGAGGAAAACACCTACCTATTGTTCCCTAAAGGAAAAGCATTTTCCTATCTTTTTTGATTCTTGGACAGAATATTGTTTTATTTCTAAAATGCTCATAATGAAATTCACAAGTAGTGCTTACCAGTTCCTCATGGTCCCTGCTTTTGCTTCTGTTATAGGAGTAGGGAAACAGTATTTGTTGGGAGTATGAGTGCATGGTGATGTAAGCTTTAATGTGGTTGATGTTTCTCCTCAGGAAGTCAGCCACCGCCTTCACTTCTGGCTCCGACTCAGGATAAAGTCCACAGTAGGTTTCAGAGCAGGAGAAACTTGATGCACCTTCCTCTGTAGTAAAATGGTTAATGAGATGTTATTAGAAGTTGTGTGTCCTGTGCTTTGTGATTCACCTTAAATCTACAGTGCAGCAAATGCAGAAAAATGGTCGAGGGAAGGCTCTATAAAGAACATATTTTTGATATCCAGTAAACGTCATTTGTGTTTCTTTTGAAATCAAGTATTTGCATCAGGCTTGCTAAGGCCATCCTAGGTGGGTCTCTCTGAATGCCTGGGGGCAGCCATCTTGGATCCTGAAAACACAACCAGGAAGGTCTCAGCTATTAACTTGTTTCCAAGCTTTTGATAAAATGAAGGAAAATAAACTGAATTTCCTTAGTCACTATAGATGCATTTTTCTGAC